AGAAAGCTGAAACTGGATCCCTTCCTTACACCTTATACAAAAATTAATTCAAGATGGATTAAAGACTTAAATGTTAGACCTAAAACCATAAAAACCCTGGAAGAAAACCTAGGCAATACCACTCAGAACATAGGCATGGCCAAGGACTTCATGACTAAAACACCAAAAACAATGGCAACAAAAGCCAAAATAGACAAATGGGATTTAATTAAACTAACGAGCTTCTGCACAGCAAAATAAACTACCATCAGAGTGAATAGGAAGCCTACAGAATTGAAGAAAATTTTTGCAATCTACCCATCTGACAAAGGGCTAATATCCAGAATCTACAAAGAACTCAAACAAATTTACAAGAAAAAACCCCATCAAAAAGTGGGCAAAGCACATGAACAGACACTTTTCAAAAGAAAACATCTATGCAGCCAACAGACACATGAAAAAATGTTCATCATCATTGGTCATCAGAGAAATGAAAATCAGAACCACAATGAGATACCATCTCACACCAGTTACAATGGCAATCATTGAAAAGTCAGGAAACAACAGATGCTGGAGAGGATGTGGAGAAATAGGAACGCTTTTACACTGTTGGTGGGAGTGTAAATTGGTTCAACCATTGTGGAAGACAGTGTGGCGATTCCTCAAGGATCTAGAACTAGAATTACCATTTGACCCAGCAGTCCCGTTACTGGATATATACTCAAAGGATTATAAATCATATGACTATAAAAAAAACATGCACACGTTTATTGTGGCACTATTCACAATAGCAAAGACTTGGAACCAACCCAAATGTCCATCAATGATAGACTGGATTAAGAAAATGTGGCACATAAACACCATGGAATAGTAGGCAGCCATAAAAAAGGATGAGTTCACGTCATTTGCAGGGACGTGGATGAAGCTGGAAACCATCATTCTGAGCAAACTATCACAAGGACAGAAAATGAAACACCACATGTTCGCACTCATAGGTGGGAATTGAACAATGAGATCACTTGGACACAGGGTGGGGAACATCACACACTGGGGCCTGTCAGGCGGTTGGGGGCTAGGGGAGGCATAGCTTTAGGAGAAATACCTAATGTGAATGATGAGTTGATGGGTGCAGCACACCAACATGGCACATGTATACATATGTAACAAACCTGCACGTTGTGCACATGTACCCTAGAAATTAAAGTACTTTAAAAAAAAAGTTTAAAACTACAAATAAATATGATGAATATATGAGCTTTAGATGTAAAAAGATTTTCTAAACTTACTAGCAATAGAAAAAGTTTCAGAGGAAAACATTTAAATATTTCCATACATCAAAAGTATCCTAAATGTAAACAAAATACCAGAAGATATATTTGTTAACAATAGGGCAAACAAGAGGTCACTACCTTTAATACATAGAGGCCAGATCACCTAGAACATAACCCCAAAGATCTCAGCAGCTAAAGAGACAGAACATAAATATGCATTTACAAAAGAAAAAAAATATAATGACCAGTGAGCATTACAAAATGCCAAATCTTAATAGTGATTAAATCCATTCACATTAAAATGAGATATGATTTTTCACCTCTTGAATGATAGGGCCCTCAGTGTGACGATGAAGTGCAACAGTCAGCTACTCCGATACAAGACTATTGTAATTCTGTACTGCTCCAGCTTCCTAGAAGGCAGCTTAGCAGTTGTGTTTCAAGTCTCGAGAATGTTCATATGCTTTAATCCACTAATTTAGCTCTTAGGACTTTCAATCAGGAAATGTTTGCAAATAGTCAGTAAAGGTCAGTAAGGTTTTTTCACATACTTATAACATTTTATGTATGTATTTATATACACATAAACATATATATCAGCCAAAATATTCTACTTCTCACCCTTCAAACAGTGGAATGTTGTGCGGCCATGAGAAAGTACGGTCATGAAAATATTTTAAGGCATATAAAAATGCTTATGGTTTATGATACGTTTAAGGGAAGGATAAATATGTAAAGTGGTTTTAAATATGCATACAATGCATACATAATCCTGAAGGAACTGTGCCCACATGTAGATAGTAGATAAATTTTTTCCTATTTAATGTCATTTTTGTTAGGAATCTTTCAGTTACGGTTGGCAGAAAATCGGTCTTCAGTTGGTTTAAACAACAGCAAAAGAGGGGAAAGTGGGATTTTTTTCTTTCCACCTATTTATTTTCTGAAACTGAAAATTCCAGGCCTGAGGTATGGCTCCAGTCAAATCCAGATACTGCAGACCAGATATTATCAAGGGCTGTGTTTTGTTCCCTTCATCCTGTGTCAACTGGCCTCCTGGGCTTGGTGGGTCTGGACACTTCCTTGTGGTAGCAGAATGGCTGCAGCATTTCAAATGTCACATCTTCCAAGCAAAGAGAGGTTCTTTGTTTGTTTGAGACGGATTCTCGCTCTGTCGCCCAGGTTGGAGTGCAATGCCACCGTCTCAGCTCACCACAACCTCCGCCTCCCGTGTTCAAGCGGTTCTCCTGCCTCAGCCTCCCGAGTAGCTGGGATTACAGGCACCTGCCACCACGCCCAGCTAATTTTTGTGTTTTTAGTAGAGACGGGGTTTCACCATGTTGACCAAACTGACCTGGAACTCCTGACATCATGATTGGCCCGCCTCAGCCCCCCGAAGTGCTGCGATTACAGGTGTGAGCCACCGCGCCCAGCCGAGAGGTCTTGTTTTAGTGGCTTTCTCTATTGATAGGTGAAGATTCTCTTTCCCATGGGCACTAACAGATGTCTCCTCACGTCTCGGTGGCTGTTACTGAGTTATGTGTCAATCCCTGGATCAACTGCTGAGGCCAGTGGGATGTTACCTGTTTGTCTCAAGCAATCAGGTTGTACCTCTGGAGCACATTAGGGCAATCCCACCTAAACCCCACGGCTAAAAACAGAGGAGTTATTTCCCCTGAAGCAAAATCTGGGTTCTCTTCTAGGATGGGGAACAGACCCAGGCTAGCAAAAGCAATCAGTGTCCACTACAAGAGACTTTCAGATTGTCCACAGTGACCATATATACTAAAGTTATGGTCAGAAAAGTATTAATGTTAGAATCAGAAATAAGTTATAAACTTGAGGAAAAAGAATAAAAAGCTTCCTGCCCCTATGAAGAAACACTGAAGTATGGGAAGCACCCCAAAGAAATATAGGAACTTAACAAGTTTGTAAAAGCTCTGGGATGAATTAGAATTCATTTCATAAACTGTGTGGGAGGCAGTGCTATGGAGAGGTGAGTGTCTTTAGAATCTTAGGAGACCCCAGTTCTTTTACTTACTAGTTATCTAATCTTGGACAAATTGCTCAATGTCTTTGAGCCTCTATTTTCTCATCAGTAAGAGAGAGATAATATACTACCTTCCTCACAAGCCTGTTATGAGATTAAACAAATATACATGTGCTAAGGTGAACAGAAAGCACTTAAAGAATGTTATCTTTATCATTACTTAATAATAAAAATTATGGAGGTAATTTTTTAAAATACATAATATTTAAACACCCTGTATATATTGTGCTAAGAGAGGATGACTTGATTCATCTTTTTAATTTTTTCTCAGCCTTAACTAATCTTTACATATACACACACACAAATCTTATTCATCTCACAAGTGTTGTGAAAGGAAATAGATCACAGGAGAAATGTAATGCCTTCTCTACAAGCAGATTTCTTAAAGAGCAAGAAAAAAATCTTTTTAAACACTTAATTTTGGTTGCCATAATCATAGCTAATACTTATATAGTGCTTTTCATGTACCTGAGCTTAATATTCTGTTTTTACCTGAAGTAACTCATTGAATCCTCAACAATTCCATAAGTTAGGTGCCACAGTATTCCTAATACACAGGAGAGGATATGGAAGCCCCAGTAGAGCTAGTATTCAAATAGAGGAGTCTAGCCCCAGGACCATCCTGTAATCACTCCCTTTACTGCTCTCCACAGGTGACAGCTGGCCTCTGTTACTGTCAACAAGATATGGTTTGCTTGGTCCTCAGTTTCCCTTCTCTGAAACTTTTCTGTCATCATGAGCAGTCATACACCTTGAGTGCATGGTTCTGGAGAAAGTAGATGTAGGGAAAACGGTTTAAAGATGCCTCTCCAATAGTGTCTAGTACCGTGTATCAAGTAAGGAAAATTCATGGGACCTTCAATGTGTGTCGTTCAGTGGTGGGAAATCTGCTTACTGAGAAAGTGAAAATCTCTTTTACTGGGGATTATGCAAAAATACAGTGGTCTAGTGGCGTGAATCTTGTGGAAATGCAAGTACAAATGACTGCCAGTTTAAGGCCATAAGATCTGAGAGTGAAAAGTGTGTGAAGCTTTTATCAGCAGAGACCTGCTGCCAGTAGCAACAGTTAGCTCAGGGCACCTCTGTGCCAGCTTCACTGGCTATGCTCAGATTCTCCCCTGCTACAGTGATTAAGACAAAAGCTAGCACCTGCTGACACTTCAATTGGTGATAGCTTCTCTGTTGCAAGGAAATGTATCTCCTTAATGGAGTAGGAGTGACCAAAAAACGTTAACTTACAACCTAAATAGTAATTGTAGAAGGGATGTTTTCTTTGGTTCTACACTCAGACATTTTTTTCTTCTACCAGATTATGCTACTAGTTGTTCCATTTTTATGCTGTGTGAAGATACTCTTTTTTAAATAGACTTTTTTTGGAGTGATTTTAGGTTTACAAAAAAATTTCACAGAAAATAGTTTCCAGTTCCCTGTCACCACCCCCTGCACCCAGTTTCTCCTCTTGTTAACGTTTTACATATGTGTATGCGCCTTCTTTTCACTTCCATCATTCTTTTTTCTTTTTTAAAAATTTAACATGCCAGACTTTCTACCCCCTTGGTATCACTTATTTGAGATTTACATCACTTGGTATCACTTATTTGAGATTTACATCACTTTACACACGCAAAGTGTGAGGTCAGTTTTTAACAGTACAAGTGCAGTTATTGGTGAGTCTCATGCTACTGTGTTTATTGTGCTTTCAGATCCTATTGATCATCGCTTCAGTTATTGGGATAATTGTCTATAGGCTCTCAGTGTTCATTGTATTTTCTGCAAAACTTCCCAAGAACATTAATGGAACAGACCCAATCCAGAAGTACCTGACTCCACAGACAGCCACGTCCATCACGGCCTCCATCATCAGCTTTATAATTATCATGATTCTGAACACTATATATGAAAAAGTGGCAATTATGATTACTAACTTCGGTAAGGTCCTACTATAGCTTAGGTAACTTCTGACATATTTTTAGAACCTGCCAAAAATAGAGACTGTTATCTTTTAGGCTTTTCAATTCCAGTAGGTTACAATTTTTAGAAATTTTCGAGTGTAAACATATTTTCTCTAGCATGTATGGAAATAAATTAGCTACAGCTTTCCATTAGTAAAAGGGACAAAGCAAAGACAATCATTATAATGTCCAAACTCTGTGTAAACAGATCAGTGCTGAATAATATTTTCAATTACATTAGATCATGTACTCTATTGTTGAAAGTAAATAGTCTCTTTATTGCAAATAAGTGGAATAGGGTCATGGTTCCAGTGGCAAATATGTTCCTCTGTTGCTGAGAGGACAAGCTATCACACTGCTACGTGTCTTCCCCCGTGCTGTTCATATTAATATAATTCTCATCAGGCCTTGATTTTTTAATGTGTTTCTTCTCTCTGGCTTGTATCCCAGGCAGCTGCTTAGTGGCCAAGTTAAATGCTTGCCATACTGCATACATCTGAGTCGTTCTCTGAATGGCCTGCTCGGTGGTCATCTAAAATGATCAAACTGATTCAAACTCCACACTAGGAGGATGACCTATTTTGTCTTTCCCAAATGCCTCTAGCAAGTTGTACCTTGGTTTGCTTGTTTTCTTCAACAGACACACCTTATTGCAATTCAGGAAAACAAGAGAATATCATTTAGCAGGCAGTTCAAAACTAATTTTCTGTCAATTATACCTATGGCAGTTCTTATTTGATAACACTGTACTTGTAAATTTTAAGGAGCAGTTGATTTTTTTGTGGGGGAGGGGAACATGTGGGCTATTGTATTCCTACTGTGAGGGAGAACTCATAACACTGTGCAAACTTGGAATTAACGCAGTGGCTGTATTAAGGTATTCAAAACAGCTTAAATGGAAACAGTGTGAATTGTATTTTTTTAACGTGTTAACTCATGTATCAGTATTTTTTATTAGAGTCTCAAAGCTCTTCACAGTTTGAAAATCTTATTTTTCTTTCTTTTAACTACAGAACTCCCAAGGACCCAGACTGATTATGAGAACAGCCTCACCATGAAGATGTTCTTATTCCAGTTTGTCAACTACTACTCTTCATGCTTCTACATAGCATTCTTTAAGGGCAAATTTGTAGGCTATCCAGGAGACCCAGTTTATTGGTTGGGAAAATACAGAAATGAAGAGGTATGAATATAGAATTGTATTATCTTGCCAATTTAAGCTGAGTTTTCTCTCAGTTACCCAAATGAATAGTTCTTTATTGTAAATTCCTAGATTTATTTTTTAGCCTAAGCAGAACAAATATCAGAAAAATAGGATGCCTATATTTCAAGTTAGATCCATTGAATATTTAAATGGTATTTTCTTTTTAACCTTCCAGTGTGACCCAGGTGGCTGTCTTCTTGAACTGACAACTCAGCTGACAATAATCATGGGAGGAAAAGCAATCTGGAATAACATACAAGAAGTATTATTGCCGTGAGTGTTAACTTGTATAGCCATGGGTAAAAGGACGAGGAATAGAACAGCCCAGCCACACAAATCATTTGCCTCCATAGCCACATAGCTGCACGTCCACCTCTAAATGGATCAGAAGCTACTGTCATTAAGGGTCTCCAGACAACATAGTCCAACCAACAGTGTAAATGTATCCAGGATCTAATAATTGTATTTTAAAACCTTCTTTATATTTAATGTAAATCCCCATCTGCTGCAGTTTATACCTACTGGGCTATTGTTGGTTACTGACTAATAGCAGCCCTTTGAGCGACAGCACTGGCTAGAGCTGTGACCTGTGTATTTCCACAATTTCTCACATCCTTCTCTCTTTCCTATATATTATGCATTTAAAAGTCAGTGTGAATTCCAGTCACTATATTAAGTGCTACATATATATAAAAAAAAGATATATATATATATATATATATCATTTCATCTACCAAACTATTCTTATTTTTTTTCTCCTTTCTGCTAATGAAGATCTGTGGTTTAAAGAGGTTAAATGATTTACCCAGTTTCACATTAGCATTAAGAGGCTACTGTGGTATTCAAATCCAGGATCCCATGAGTCCAGACTTTTAAGAACAGAGGTTCTCGCATGATCCTAAGGCACTGGGATACATAATGTTTTAAGAAATAATTGTCTAGAATAATAACCACAAAGGTTTTGACTTACTGTTTTCCTAAAACTGAGCACAACAGAATAGTTGTACTTAAGATGTTAACTAAGATTTCATTGCCGTTTACAACTTTCACTTAGGCCCCCTCCCCTATCAAAGTGTAAAGTCCAACACCATCTGCAATTTCTGCAAATTTCAGGGAGCTTTTTGTTTTGGTCTTCTATTGCTGCAATAACAAATTACCCCAAGATTAACGGGGTAAAAACAACATGTAATATCTTATGGTCAGAAGTCTCAGTGGACTAAAATCAAGGTGTTGGTGGGGTTGTGTTCCTTTCCAAGGACTCTGAGGTGAATCTCTTTGCCTTTCCTGGCTTCTGGAGGCCACCATCTCTGCTCCCTGCCTTGTGACCTCCTTGTGACCTCTTCTCCATCTCAAAGCCAGCAAAGTTTCATGTTTGTGACTGTCTTCTGTAGTCACCTCTCCCACCTCCTGTCTTCTACCTCCTGTCCCCCTCCTCTCCTCATCTCCCCTACCACCTCTTCCCTTCTTTTGTTTAGAAACAAAAAGCCTCCACCTTTATAAGAAGTCTTTTATCCCACTATATATCTGGGAATTTTTTAAAATTTATCACCCTCTTTATAGGCTCTCACCTCCTGCCGTGGTGCCCTCTTCCCTCCATCACATACAACTTCTCTCTTTCTTCTCCTACTCCTGGCGTTTTTCTCCCCAGTCACCAAGTTTCTGTTCATTCACTTTGTTGAGCAGTTAACTCACTCTGGGTTTCAGTGCATCCTTCCAGATTTCTTTACCAGGTCTTATTCTCTATCTTCAATGGAAACTTTCAGAGTCTTTCTCTAAACAAAGATCTCTCTCCTTCCTCTTCCTCCACCCAGAAAGGGATTCTGGTTTTAGCTGTGAAATTCTTTTTTTTTTATCCTTCTCTACAGAAAACAACCCTCACTTTCATTGAGCTCATATTCAGATTTTTCCAGATAAGTAAAAGTAGGTCATGCATAAATAGTACTCTGTTTCTAAATGAAAACAAATTATAAAATTGAGGAAAGTCTTCATTCTGAGATTAAAAAGTGTTTTCTGAAAAAAGTAGGTTAATTATTTAACACTGTGTTTCGGTAACATTGGTTTTTAGCAGCTATTTCCTAAACTGGTATTGAGAAATTCATATGAAATGAAATTTGTTCACATGAAATATTTTAAAGGATCAATTATACTATCCGTGGTTTATACTTTCACTTCAAGTAAGCTCATTGTTGAAAATTAGTCATATGAACTTTGCCTCAAATTTCTCCTCCTATGTTTTCTTGTTTGAAAACTGGGAATGCTGAGTGTTAGCCAAATTAGAGAGTGACTGTGCTGCTTC